CTTTGGTCTGACTGATACAAGGCTATGGAATGTCATGTTGATGCTCAGCATTGGGTGGAGGGGAAGAGACCACACCAGTAGGATTTTGTCCGGCAGCATCCATGCAGAAGTTGGACCTTTTGAAATGTGAAAGTTATAAAGCTGAAAAATCAGAATACTCTATACTTTAGAGGTGCTTGCCTTTTTTTTAAATTCCAGAGACATCCAGAGAGCCTTTGTTTTTCTGATTCCTAATGAGTTTTCAAACTTCATACTATAAGCAATATATTCCTACTTGAATGCTTCCATGAAACCAAAATACTTAATACAGTATTGGCTTGCTGTATCGTGGTGTCTTTTTGCTCTGGGTAGGCTTACTCTCAATCATCTTCCATATATGGGTGGTAATTTTACCACCTGCAGCTTCAGGTGTGAACAATGCAGAGATGTGGCAGACCTGCCCAACCTGAAAGCTTACTAAAGCTGAGCATTTGAAATAAAGGCACAGAGGCAGGACACATGTACAGAAGCTGTTCGATTGTGACTTCCCATCACAGTTGTAAATCACAAGATGAATATGAGTCAACAGTGTAATGCAGCTGCAGAAGAAAGCAAATGCTATTTCAGGCTGCATTTCCAGAAGCATAGTCTCCAAATCCCCTGAAGTACTAATCTGCTCTATTCAGGACTGGTTAGGTCTCACCTTGAGTACAGTGTCCAGTACTGGACATCATACTTGAAAAAGCATACAAATTGGAACATGTTCACAGGAGGACACCAAGGATGATCAGGGGACTGGAAACAATGCCGTACGAGGAAAGACTGAAAAAAGAGTGGTTACCTACTTGTAACCATGGTTCTTCTAGTGGTCCTCTGTGAATCCACACAATTGGGTTGTTCTGCGCCTGCGCAGGACGTTTCAGAAGTTTCTAGAGCTTAAAGACATGTGATTAGTGAGACATTCCCCCGTGCAGTGAGTGATAACGCATGGAAGTCTCTGATGATTGCTAAGAGTTTGAGATGGTCAATGTGCAGTAATTGTTCTCGTTTTGTCCACAGACCATGTATCTTGTGATGTCGACAGTGGGCTCCCCATCCAGATGGACTGGCATCAGTGGTGACCTGTACGGAGAGCTGTAGAGGTTGCAAGGGCCTGGCCTACCATCAAATGAGGTTGAAACGTCCACCAGGTGAGTTGACTGGCGAGTTCTGATGTAACTACGAGACACTTGGAGGAGTGGTTTGTTATGGGATCGAATAGAGAAAGATACCATGATTGTAGGGATCAAATTTTGAGCCTTGCGTGTTGAACAACAGCTGTGGTAGAAGCCATGAGCCCGAGGAGGTGCTGGGCTTGATGCGCCAATACCAAAGCTAAAGGTTGAAATGGTTGAATGGCTTGTTTCAGTTTGATGATTCTTTCTTGGGGTAGAAAAGTTCTGGTTCGAAGAGAGTCGAAATACGCCCCAATGTAGGTGGTGGTCTGTGAAGGCTCGAGATGATACTTGGCAAGGTTTACTTTGAGACCTAGATCTTGGAGAGTGTTGAGAGTTAGTTGGGTAGCTCTGACTGCGTTGTGATAAGAAGGAACTACTATTAACCAGTCGTCTATGTACGGGAAAATAGTGATATCTTGCAGTCGAAGGTAAGCCGCTACTGGTGTCATACGTTTGGTAAAGTCCTCTGTGCCATGGAGAGCCCGAATGGGAGGGAGCAGGATTGGTATGAGACGTTGTTGAATCAGAATTGTAGGAATTTGTGATAAAGAGGATGGACAGACGTGGAAGTAGGCACCCTGCAAGTCAATGACAAACTAGTCTCCCTGTGAAAGGAGGGGGATGATAGTTTTGAGGGTTAGCATTTGTAATCGTCTGGGTCAAATGAATTTGTTAAGGTTTCTGATGTCAAGAATAGGATGAAGTCCTCCATCCTTTTTGGGGATAGTAAAATATCTGGAGTGAAATCCCTCCTGCCATGTAGAGGAAGGGACTATGAGTGTGGCTTGCTTTTGAAGAAGGGAAACGTCTTCACAGAGAGCTAATGAGTATGGGGTAGTCCTAATGGTGCCAGAGGGTGGGGTACGGTGAAATTCAATGAAATAGCTGTTCTGGACAAGAGAAGGGACCCAGTGGTCATTAGTGATTTGTTGCCAGGCCGAGATGAAGGGATGGTTTGAAATGTGGAAAGAAGGGGTCTATGGGTACTGCTTACCCTTCTTTTGTGGGTGTCAAAAGGGCTGTCGACGTGCCTGTGGCTGTTGAGGCCGAAAGGAAGGAATGGTAGATGTAGATGGGGCTGTGGTCTGAATGATCGACATGGTTGCTGGCAGGATTGGAACTGTTATTGCTGGAAAGGTTGTATCCAAAACTGAGGATGCTGATACCGGTAGGGTTGCTGAGTGGAAGAGGAGCTTGCGGATTACAGGAATGTTTTCCATGACTTCATCCATTTTGACATTGAAAAGGCATCAAAAGGAAGATCTTCTATCCTGGTTTTGGTGTCATCTGAAATGCCTGCAGATCTCAACCAGGCATGGCGCCTCAAGGCAATCGAGGTGGACATAGCTTATTCTAGGGCTTGAATGGGCCGAGGCTGGGCTGGAATGAGCATCAGCTGGAGACAGGCCAGTACTCGGCGAGAGGCTAGCAATGGAAGCTACAACCTGAGCCGGTGTTATGATTGGGTTATCCCTGTCTGAGGTTGAAGCAAGGGCATCTCTAAACAATTCCTCGAGAATAGGTGAAGGAATCACTGGTTGAGGAGGATCAATTTGAGTTGATTTTGTCGGTTTTTTATTTTTTTTTGTCTTAGTCTTATATTCTTCTTAGATGAGTCAACAAGACGGGTTGGAGCTCTCAAGGTGGTTGAGCTCGACTTCAAAGGTTCATTTTGATGAGATGATACCATCGTTGGAATTGATATGGAATGAGCAGTTTCTTGTGGAGTTGGTGATGTTGTCAGTTCCATGGTCAGATTGAGGGATCATTCCCACAGGTAAGATCATAGCCCTTGCAAGCATAATTTCAGGGCCGGTTTAGTCAGTTTTTTACACTCGGGACATGAGTGAGTCTGATGCTGTTCCCCTAAACAAAACAAACAGTGATTGTGCCCGTCTATAAGCGGGGTTTTGTTGGCACAGAGGACACACCCTGGGGGCCGATAAAAATAGGGGGAAAGGGAAGGAAAAAGTGGCGATTGTGGAGGGAGGGGGGAAGAAATAAATAAACGGATAATCACAGGGAACATCAAATAAAGAGGTGATTGAGAAATATATAAGAAATAACATTAGATAAAGTACTTGCTGAGTTATTCGCTCTATTGTTCCGAGATACGTCCTACTGAAGCGGTGGTAAAAAGGAAAGGAGGGGACACTGGATGGGCAGAGCATGCGCTCCACAGGGGAACACCCAATTGATCACATGTCTTTAAGTTCTACAAACTTCTGAAACATCCTGTGCAGGCGCAGAACAACCCAATTGTGTGGATTCACAGAGGCCATGAAGAAGCTGCACATTTTAGCCTTGAGAAAAGAAAACTGAAGGGAGATATAGCACTCTTGAAATGCTTAAAAGGTGGTCATACAGAGGAACAGCAGGATCTATTGTGTCAACCTCAAATGCAGGATAAGTAAAAAGGGACTCAAGTTACAGGAAACCAGATTTCACTTGACTATCAGGAAGATTTTTCTAACTGTTACAGCAGAATGACAATGGAACCACTTACATTCCCGCACAGGAGAGTTTCAAGGGAAAATTAGACTACCATCAGTGAGATATACTTATTGACTAAGCTGGCTAAGGCTGACGGGAGTTGTATTGGATAGCCACACAATGCCCAAACTTGCTCTCATGCCATTTCTTCCATTACAAATGAGAATGTATAAGTTCAAAGAAAATCTACTGTTCTTATGAGAACACAGTGGTAGACTAAAAGTAGCAGTAACTGAAATGAGTGAAATGAAGAAATTAAAACAACACATCAATAGCATAGGCAACTCACATGGATCACCCTTTGCGAGACTGCAGAAGTGATGGATCTGGGCTCCAGAGGTTTGTTGTCAGTGGGAAAAGAAAAACCAGAAGACAGACTTGATAGTCTTTCCTGTTACAGTGGTAGGTCAGATGGTATTACAAGCATTGATAAAGGGTCAGAAAAGGCTTTGTGAATGTGCAAGTCTCCAATATTTTCCCTTTCCAAAGGCAGCCACAGAGGCTAGACATGTCCTTTTCTTCCCTTTGCTGCTCTGTCAAAGGACTGTCTGAACTACTGGAATTCCCCTCTTTTTAATTATTATTAGAAGACAGGAAGAGTTAAAGAACTTCCTTCCCCCAGGGAAGAGTTCCCTCCTTGAAGCCAGTCTATGACAAGCAGCGAGAAGAAAACTTTCCCTGTTTGTTTTAAGGAAAAGAAATTACAGCTCTCAACCAGCCTAGAGTGATGCCCTTCTGAGCTAGAATATATAGATGTCATGCCATGCAGATACCATCACTTCCTTGGGATGAGAAGGTGGGAATCTCCTGCAGAAGCTTCTTGCTGAAGGTGCGAGTGCCCAGGTTTTAGGTTTAACGGGCGAGTACTCCTCGGCCATTAAACTTAAAAGAAGTAAGTGCTGGTGGAAAAACTGTCAAGGAGAAATGTGAACTACTGAGTTGGATTTGTTAAATTTGTTAAGCAATAAAGTTAACTTTTATTGAAAAAGAAGTGATGGAGTCATCTGTGGCTGGGACACAAAAATCAGGGGGAAAGTTCTGAGAAACTCACATCCTTATCCCCCATCTCTTTTCTGAAGGGCTCCACTGCCTGGACTGGGCACCTTGATAGGCCAGATTAGGCTTGCAGGGCGGGAATTTCCCATCGCTAGTGATTTTTTTAAAAAAGATGGTGCAGCAAGACTTGAGCACCCTTGTTTCCCTTAACATTCTTGTGAAAATCAACCATGGTGTGGCATGACGTCTGAATACTATTTTTGAATGTAAACAATTGAATGCACGGATTTAAAGGTCAAAGGAATTTAAGCAGTCTTCAAAGTAGAAAAACATTTATTAACCACATGTAAAAGGATTATATAGAACAGAAACATATGAAAATATTTACAGGGACAGACAGAACATTGATAAAACATGGTCCTATCAGGAATGCCATTGTAAGCGCTTGGAATCCAGTTCTTGGCTATTTAGTGCAGACACACTGAATTTTTAAAATAAGGTGGGACAAAACGTAAGTGAACTTTGCTTTCAACTCAGAATATTTCATCATCAGACTCTTCTAGATACTTGATAGGTTTTCTTGCCCGACCAACCCTTTCATGGATGATAGCTGGAGCACACAGTTCCTCATCTGGGCCAATTTCCATGGAAAATGACTCATCAATCTTCTTGGATTTCTGTGAATCAAAAAGGGCAGCTAGTTAACTATCAGACTTAAAAACTCCATATATATATGCATGTGTGTTGGTGGGCAAAGTATTCATAATACAAATGTACTTATAGATATAATCCTGTTGTGAAACATGGAAGTCCTTTGCTCTGTCCCATCCACTGCCACTTTATATAACCTCTCTCCCCCTCTTCCTCTAACATACACAAATCAGTTTGTCCCTAACAAACACACACATGCCCTCATCCATTCTGTGACTCCACACCATATGTGAAAACAGACATCACACATTTTATTTCCTTGCAGAGGATTGTAAATTATCCCTGTTAGGTTGATTAGCTGGATGCACTTAAGCCATTCACATATGCTGGTGCTCAAATTTAGACTGGGCTTTCTGAAAGAAGCAAATCTGTGCCTCCAAAATATGCAAGATAAGAAAAAGCAGAGCAGTGCAAGAGTCCTTTAATATTACTCCCTATGTTGTAACATCAAAGACAGGTAGCAAGAATAGGAATAGCAACAAGCAAACCTTAACTGCCGTGGATTTTTTAAAAGACTGCCCAAAGTCAGAATCAGAGTCCTGAGAGTCAGAAGTGGAGGAAGGCTTCCTTTTGGCCGGTTTCTTTGTCTTGGCAGGCACAGGCTTTTTGGAAGCTGCTCCATCTGTACTGGAGTCTGAACTCTTAGCTGCTGTTGCTTTGCTGGGTTTTGTAGTCACCTTCTTCTTTGAGAAAGCATCCATGATAGAAAGCTGGTTGTCTAAACAGTAGAAAAATCAGTTATCTTTGTGGCTGTCATTCCCTTATATCTCCTCAGAGAGGTCTGCCCCAACAGAATTTCCAAGTAACTGCATCAGAAACTCATTCTGTTGATGATCAAGACAAGTCTTAAGGCCTTGTAAGGCTCAAGACTACAGTTGATCTGAAGTATAATCATCAAGATAGGGCACAGTATTTTTGAGAAAAGCAGGAGAATTGGGAGAAAGGCATTATCACTGTCAAGAAAAGAAGCCATTCACGATTAGCAAAGCTGGAAAATATCATGGGATATGCTGGCTTCTTCAGCAATAGACTTAAAACAATGGCAGCCCTTTCCAAGAAATAATTGGCCAGAATATTCTCCTAAAAGGTTCCAGGCCTTTAACTACTGAATAAGCATCTACCATTAAAAGGTAAGTGCAGTGTAAGGTGTCTACAGCCTAATGAGTCTTCTGCAAATGTACTTGTTAGAGTAAGCATGGCGTTGCTCCTGGAAAAAAAGGAGCAACGAACTGTCTTCTGCTTGTCCTTTTTTGAGGAGGCAGCTGAGCTGGAACATGTGCTGTTGGGTGTTGCTGTCTCAGGTACTTCGCAAACCTTTGGACCTTTAGCAGTGCATGCAGGCAACCAGGCTTTCTCACAGGGACAGCTGGTTGTCAGTGTGTATGGACCAGCAATTGTTGTTTCCTCCAAAATGCTGGATGTGCCTTTGGACAGTGCTGCCAACAGCACATGTTCCCTCTCCTGTACAGTGGTGCCCTGCTTGACGATGATAATCCGTTCCAGGAAAATAACTCTTAAGCAAAATCATCATCAAGCGGAAAAAAACAACCAATGGAATGCATTGAAAACCGGTCAATGCGTTCCAATGGGGGAAATACCTCATCGTCCAGCAAAGATCCTCCATAGGGCAGCCATTTTCCGATCCCTGTCTTGCGAACAATCGGTCCAGAAAACAGCAGGGAGCCATTTTGTGAACCGCTGATCAGCGGTTTTAAATCATCGTCAAGCGGGGGGGGGAACCCACTCCTGAAGCAGGGACTGAATCAACGTTAAGATCGTCAAACGGGGGAAAAAAACACCCGCTCCTGAAGCAGGGACTGAATCAACATTAAGCGAAAAAACCCTATAGAAACATCATTTTGCGATCGCTATAGCGCTGGAAAAAAAAGTCATCGTAAAGTGATTTTGTTGTCAAGTGGGGACATCATCAAGCGGGTCACCACTGTATCTGCCACTTGGGAAAAACTTTGAGATCATGCTTAACACTGTAGCTCTTCTGCTGAGCATTGGCTAGAGCCCACACTGTTCAATCTATTCCTCCACTTTCAGGTCCTGAGGTGCGTGTGTTGAAGCTGAAGGCAAGGAGAACACACTTCTGGGAAGCACCTAGAAGCACCCTTAGTCTTCCTTGCACCAGTCTTCCTTGCACCTTAGTCTTCCTTGTGTACCTTTGAGCATGGTCACATATACTGCCTTTACATATTTTGTATGTATGTTGCCTTGGGAAACCTGAGAGGGGCTCTGCAGCAAGTGGCTTGGCTGCCATGGTGGACCACTAAACGTAGATCAGCCAGCTGTCAAATAAGCAAGCCAAGTGCCTGCAGGAATCAGATCTTGTGCCTGTGGAGTTCAGGGGAGCTTTTATACTCTTCTCTTCCACCCAAGGCCCTCCCTTCTCTCCAAGAAGTTCTGTTAAACCAAAATTAATCAGAAAACCCTTCCTTGTCAGGGACAGATGTGCTGCCAAACACTGCAGATAGAAGACAGCATAGAGGAAATGATCCACAGAGCTGAAGCTCTGGAAGAACCTTCAGGCAACCGGGACGGGAGAAGCGGGATAGGATGGTTGCCACTGAAGCAGGAGAGGAGACAAAGGAGCACCAAGCATGAAGCAATTCATTGCCTTTGCTAAACCATAAGCCATCCCTGCAGAATACACGAACTCCAAACACAGCTACACTTCTTTAATAGAAACAGCACTGAATACTTTTACAGACGTTTTGAAAAATCTTACCCTCACTTATGCCTGTTGTTTTCTTGGCTGGTGCTCTCTTTTTGGGGGCGGGTTTAGGAGGCCCATCAAGAGATGTAGCTGGTTTAGCTTCATCATAGTCCTCAATGTGAACTGGAAGGAAGAAAAAGCCCCAGGAAACAGACAGCTCCAAAACGTATTTAATTGACTTTTAACTGTTCATTTAGAACAGTCCAAGCACTTAAGACACAGCAGCATACAGTGTTCCCAGCCCACTCCAGCCATCAAATGCCAGCACTTTCCCACTCCTGTGGCTCTTTTAAGTTGCTCCCTGTTGCCACAAACTCAAGTGAAGAAGGGCAGAAGGTCAGTAGAGGGATGGGGAGGAGGACATGCATGCAAACAGTAGAATAGGAGAAATAAAAAGAGTGAATAGTGGCATACAGGAAGAATAGGTCACATGGTATGGAAAAATGATGTGGAACAGGCAGCTGGAGAGAGGGCTGACAATGAGAAGGAGAAGCGAGTAAATGCACAAGCTGGCAGGGTAGCTCAGAGGAGAGAGGGCTAACAATGAGAAGGCTTAAAGGAGAAGCGAATAAATGCACAAGCTGGCAGGGTAGCTCAGAGAGCTAGGTATTTGGTTGTGGAGTCAGAGGTTGGGAGTCAAATTCTCCACTGGGCAGCCCAAAAGAACCAGCCTGTGTAGCCTTGGGCAAGCTCCACTGGGCAGCCCAAAAGAAACAGCCTGTTTAGCCTTGGGCAAGCTGTACAGTCCCAGAGCATCTCCAGGAAAAGGGAATGGTAAACACTTCTATCTGTCTAGAAAAATCTAGATTTTAAAAATGTAGGTGTTAAAAAATCAGATACAGTAAAAAATGTCTGCTGAAATGGTAATAATTTTTCCTGGTGTTATTATATAGTGCTGTGGTTCCTTTTATGATTATGAGGCCAGAGTGGCCCTTACAGTAATTGGAATTCTGCTTAATTGTCTGTCCTAGTCTGCTTCATTGCAAAGCAGCAAATGCACCAACCAATTTTTTAAGCAGTGTAACAAAGTATACCTCAAAGCATTGGGGATTCCTATCTTTATGAACTTGTACATCAAAGAGACAAGGGATAGCACAAGAGACATAAATAAAGAAGCATGACAGCCACAGCTCTTTTGTCTGCTTGGCTATTTTGGGAGGTAACACTGGTCTAACAATATACAAATGTATCATGTTCTTGTTACTCCAATGGACACCAGCTCTTCTTATTCCATGAATTGGAATACAAAGCTGCATTCATCACAGTCACAGAAAAGGTGAGAGTAAATTCTGATTGGAGAATAAGCAAAGACACCATGAGTTGGATGAAACTCTTACTTGTGACAGCACTCTGTACCTCTGGCGGTTTGGATTCTTTTTGGCCTTTCTGTTCTTTCGCTTTCCTACAAGAGGGAACAAATAATGGGAAATACATCTATATATTGTCATGAGCTTGCTCTTTATTCCAGGAAAGCCTTTGTACTACTACAGATGAAATTTAGGGAGACCCATAATACTGAATTGCTTGTACTGTAGTAGGAAGACTGGGATAACTAAACACACGGTTAAGGACATTTAAATATGAGCAGGACTCCTTCGAGGAAGCATGGGAATGAATAGAAAGATGTGAACTTTCCAACCACATAGAAGTCTTTGCCAGCTGGAATGAAGAACTGAGGACAAATTTAAAAGGATAATTCAGTAGTGTTTCTGGAGATATTTATGATAATATACTGCCCTTCCCTGTCAGAGTACACAAATACGGAGCTAGGCAGAAAAATAATCAGACCTGATATAAGGTAGCTGCCTTTCTTTAAAAAAAAGAAAAGAAAGGAAAACAAAACAAATTAAAAAAAATGAAAAAGAGAAAGATGTTTCTATTGTTGTGTTTTACATTAAAAACCCTAAACAACTGGTTCTCCCTTCTCTTCCCCCAAATCTAGTTTGACATGCCACATAAAGAATTATTTTCCATCTTGAAACGTTTATGCTGTTTTGTCAATTCTGTTTAGCCCTCAAGTGGAAGGTTGTTATCTCTGTTTGAAAGTCATTCTAAAAACTCAATACAGTCACATATTTTATCCTACTTCGGACACTCACTTAGAAACAGCCTTCAGCTTTGCTGGGGCAACTGCTGCATTTTCCTCAGGATCCTCATCTGTTTCCACCCGAGCTGGGGATGTTTCACCCATGTCACTGAGGTCTGAATCTGAATCCGAATCCAGCACGTATTTTGCTTTGGCTGAGAAAAAGGAGGGAAAAAAACTTTACTCCAGTAACTAAGAAGTCAGGAATAAGCCACCTCAAGAAGTTCTTCCCAGGTAATTAGGTGCACGAGCACAGCTTTTAGAAGAGGATATAAGCAGTCAAGAAATTAACTCGGTATCTTCCTTGCGCACGCTCCAACTTCTAACTTCTCCTAAGCCTACCTGCTGCTTGGCGGCGTGGTGCATCCTTACGAGGAGCAACCTCTATATCTCCCTCATCATCACTTTCTGATTCTGAGCCAGACCAAGGATTTCTTTTCATGGCTTTTTTGACAGGCTTGAATGGCAATACAGATTGTTTCTTGGTGTCTGAAATTAAACCAAATAGACTGTTCAGTTGTAAGACCACATGGGATGTGCCCACGAAAATGTTAAGAAGGCATAAGAGAGCTCAGAGTCAAGTTAGGCCTCACTCTTTTTTTTTCCCCCTTGATTTTGCTTAATAGGAAGATGCAGAACAAGCTTCGACCCCCCCGCCACCCAGCCTGAAGTAAAATTAGACTTTGACAGGCAAAAGAACCAAAGAAAATGGACTTTCAGGAATAGATTTTACCTGGCTCCTGTTTCATTTTTTTGGCCAATCTTTGTTTAAGACCTTTGGGTTCCTTGTCACACCCTGGTGACTCTCCTTCTTGACTCCCATCCAGATCAGTTTTCTCAGTCTATAGAAAAGTATAGAGAAAAATTAGTTACAGCTGGATGACCGGATAAGTAAAGGTGGCAAAAAAACTGTACATGCAGCATTTGATGATCTCATACGTTGTGCTACAATAAACACGGGCACATTCAAGCACAGAGTGCCCAACAGATGCCAACATTTCCTATTTTACCTTGATTTTTCTTTTTAATTTCTTCTCAGCCCCTGCCTTCATCTCTTCTGTCACTCGAGGAATGACTCTTCTGCCATGTGGGGAGGGCATGACTTCCTGCAGCTTCTTTACTTTGAGCTTCCCTCCTTTCCCTTTGGTGGGCTTGCCTGTGCCCCCCATCATCTCATCCTGTTTCTCCTTTTCTTCTAGGCCCTGTGGCAGAGGACAAATGAGTGAAGCACTAACAGCAGGCAGCATTTGACTGAAGCAGGAAAGGTAGCTTCATAGGGGGGAAAAAGGGAACATTTTCAAAGGCCTGGAGGATAACACAGAGCCAGCAAAGCTGAATCAGGGAACAATTACACCACCAGTAGGCAGGTGCCAGAAGACAAGAGCACCTGGGATCTCTCGGCTTCTCACTTACATCCCTCCAAGTCACCTGCCTTCGAATTAGTCAGTCAGTCTCTAGAACAGGCTTGAGAGAGTGTCTCCACAATCCTTTTTTAGAGGAGGAGAGAACTCTTGTTTTAAATGTTCCACCCGAATGGAAGCATTCTAGATATAAGCAATTAATCCATATCAGTTGAAGTCAATTAGGAGGAAGAAACACAGCGTTCTTCTCCAAGAGTGGCTTACTTCAAGAGCTTCGATGAAGACAGCAAGGTCTTCTCTCCACAAGTTATCAGGGCTCTTCCGCTTCAGGGTTTCCAGTTCTTTTTCCTAAGGAGGACCAGGGACAAACAGTGAGCCACAGGCTGGAGTCTTCAGACATGGCTGCCTGTTAAAAGCCTTTTCCAGAAGAGATCACCTACTTACTTTGTCATCCCGCTGCTTGCACAACTCATCCTTTTTTTCCTTAGTGAGGTACCAGAGAGGCATGTTCAGAAGGTAGTTGAAATCTGGCCCAGTGGCTGCAGCCGATTTCTCCTCCTTATCACTGTCACCCTCTTCACTGATATCATCATCATTGCCCTGCAGGAGGAGTGGAGAAAGTGGGACATTGGTCAATAGCTGATGAGATTGCTCAGTAACAAGAACACAGTGGCAAAGCAACAGAACATGCACATTCCCTTCTCCCAAAGCTTTCACGCTGGACAAAGGGAAGTGACAGGCACAGTAGATGCAGAAGGACATTGTTTGTTTCCCCCTCACCCCCAGTCAAATGCAGAGCTCATGATCACTGCCTAGGAGATGAGACAGTTACAGAAATATAGATGCTCCTGTCCTTTGAAAGGTACCCACAGCAATGGAGGTATCCTTCCACTTAAGACAGCCAGGATGAAGATACCTTCCCTCCCCCCAATGGCCAGGCTAGTTGAGTTCTGAGAAGTAGGATCTGAAAAATAAACGTTCCCCAGCTCCCATCCTCTGGCTGCAGCATCAGATATGCCAAAGGTGTTTATGGAACTCCTTAAAGACGCTAAGGAAACTAGATATAGCAATTAAATTAATTGAAAGGAAGGGAATGAGAATTGTAGTACCTTCTGTTGAGATTCCTTCCATTTCTTTACTGGATCAGAATCATAACCTCTCTCAATCAGAACTTTGATCAATTCTTTCTTGGGCTTGTTCTCTGGAAATAAAAACATTTTCAGATCACAAGGACAGGAATGAACCCCGACGGGAAACCTCAACTAATGGTCCTCCCATTTAACTCTTTGAATCATTTGGAATGAGGATATCCATTAGCTAATACTTTAACCAGAACAGCCAGTTGGAACAAGCATACTTTTAGTGCTCGAAGATGTCCCAGAACCGTTCGCAGTAAGCTCTGACAATACGCACCAATCACGATTTTGCCCTCTATTTTTTCTAGGATGAAGCGAGCCTGGTTGTTTAGTTTGGCTGATTCAGCCCCCAACATCCCAGCCAGCCAGTCTTTTCTTAAGGAGTAATAGCGCAGCCTGAGACCATAGAACTCCCGTAGAATGTCTTCTGCAGTCTCATATTTCTTCAGGCAGCCAACATGGTCGAAAAGGACCTGATGAAAGAGCAACACTCCAAGCATCAGGCCTCTGCAATTTCTTGTGTCTTGGAAAATCACATTTGTGCTCTTAAGCCCTAACAATTTCTAAAGAGCCGGAATTTGCCAATGGGACTCTGTTCTGGGGCCACTGATAACTGCAAATTAAGAAGTGTAAATATTTTTCCTAAACCAAGTCTGCAAAACAGCTCCATTCAAGTAGACCTAAAAGGCTCTTCCCAATTGTCAGGAAAAGAAATCTTAGTGAATTAGAAGTGAATTGGGTGACTTTTTCCACACACGGCTGAAAATGAGTCAATAGCAGCAGCTAGCAATCTGTGGACACAGTTGTTAGATTCACTGCAACTCAATGGAATACAGTTTTTACAGAAAAGATCCCCTTTGCTTCTTGGTTTTTCAAAGATCTGCAAAGCTAAAAGTGGAAACAACAAAGACTATCAGCCAATCTTCCCCAACATGGTGCTCCTAGATGGAGGTGGATAATTCCTAGAACCTGATGGAATTTTTTTCCCTTGCAGGCCACAGAAGCCAAAACATTACCTTTCTCTGCTAGGATTTGACTGGAGGGGTGTGGGCAGAAAATCAGTTTTTCAGTTATTGCCAAAGCAATATCTCACAGAGTGGTTCATTCACCCCCAGTCTTTTTTTCACCTCAGTGTCGACATTTAATTCAGTCCAAACACCGCTTCAACATTAAGCAGGGTATTACCAAAGTTTTAATAATTGCCTCATTAGGAATCTAGAAGACTTTTTTTATGAAAAGGAAATCACCTTTCGTTTAATGTTTCACATCCTTGCATCAACCTCTTTCGTTCTGTTGTCTAAGTAACTCACATCTGCCTCATTCCTAGCTAAGAAAATGGAGCTGGCTCCCTGGGGGTGTCCCTTTTTCATCCATACGCTTGGAAGCCAAGGTGACTCTGATCCTCTCTCCTCCTGAACGTGGAGTATCCGTCCGGGCTCTTGCTTACCATGTTGTTACAGGACAGAGATGTTTGGAGTTTGAAGACCTTGTGTAGCCCAGCAGCCTCTGCTTCCACCAGCTTCTGCTCGCTCATTTTCACTATGAACTTGACTGTGGTGTCTGTGTGGTATTCCTTATAATCTGTTATGAGTGGAGGTGTCTTTTCTGTACCATTGAGCATGGGCTCTAGAACTTGTTCTTTGTATACCTAAGGGAGAGAAGACCAGCATCATTGTTTGTCTTTTTCTTTGGGTTCAAGAACGTCCGGATGTTAAATAATTTGAGAAGCACAGTAAAGAATTACCTGCGTCCAAGTGCGAACAGGGAGCTCCGAAATTTCGATGGTGGTCGAGTCAAGAATAGAGAGTTCCCCATTGACAAGATACTGGTTCTGCCCCAGCGAATCTATTGTCCCCTTGAAATTCTTGTAACTAGGAATCTAAAATTACAGAAATTATAAGTCAATCTTGGAATCACATTGTAGATTTATTAAGACACCTTGAAACCCCTAAGGCTGTTGCAATTCTTCATAAGAGCAGAGAGCTCTCTCCTGTTGAAAGAGGGCTTGCGGATATATATGGAGAAATAACTATGAGAGGGAGGAAGAGGAAGATTTCAAAATGCAGAGACAACAACCATCACTTTTCCAAATCTTTCCAACTGAAACTACGAGCCATTTAAAGCTTTCTTCATCAGGAGGACTGGCCATCCACTGATGGTTTCCAAACCGAAGATATCTTATGGTTCTGATATTAAGGTTTCAAATATTATGATGCAAAACTCTGCCTTTGGCTATCACTGCTACACCCAGAACAGTTATTATTACACTTTTTTTAAAAAGCTGTTGATGTAGTTTCAAATTTAGAGTGAGCTGTTCATGCATTTTCATTTACCATTGGTAGAGGCTCTTCTCCATCCAGCATGCGGCGAATGTTATTCACCACTTCTCGGATATCGTAGTTGGGAATCTTGCATGACCAGCCAGTTCCAATGCCTTCTGCCCCATTGATTAGGACCATGGGAATGATTGGGATATACCATTCAGGTTCTACCCGTTGGTTGTCGTCATATAGAAATTTCAGCACACTGTCATCCACTGCAGGAAAAGCCAATCGTGCCAAAGGACTAGAAAAGAAAGTGACTTGCGGAGAAACTGTTCTTCATGAACATTCTAGAAGCAGGATAATAGGTTTGCAGTGGGGAAATAGGGAGACCATCATACTAAATTTCCCGCAGTAGGACTTGTTACCTCCAAGTGATGTAAAAGAAGTGCCTCATCCCAGTCCTTGCTGGTAGTTACTAACCTGAGCATTGTAAAGATGTAACGGGGGCTGGCAGAGTCTTTCCCCCCATGCAGTCTGGTGCCAAACTGGCCAATGGGCTGAAGGAGGTTAAGGTTGTTGCTGCCCACAAAATTTTGAGCCAGATTGATAATGGTCATCATCAGTGAGGCCTAAAACAAAAGGTATAGTGGCAAATGGTTACACATTCCCCTTATAACTACAACAACAATGGCCTATCAAGTGAATTCTGATTTATGGAGATCCTTTTCTGTATCTCCCAGGTAAAGAATACTCAGAAGTCATTTACCTTTCTCTTCTTCAGGAGGAGCCCAGGAACTGCGCAGCTTGCCCAAGGCCACAAAGGCTGCCTCTATTCACAGGAGGCACATCGAACCCCCGACCTCTGGCTTTGCAGCCACATATCTAAACCACTGAGCTACCCAAGAAGGGGTGCAGAAATGAGGTTTCTATGGTTTCAGAAATTAGGACTCTTGACCACTAAACCCAGCTGCTGACCAGATCTTTATGCTTGCCCCCAGACTCTCTGAGCTGAAGCAGGACATAGAACTGATAAAACAATGCTATTAGAACATTACAACCCTAGAAACGGCAGGTCTTGTCTGTGACCATGTGAACACAGTTTAAGTAGGAAAACAGCACTGGCTGTTTCATTTCACCTTTTGCCAGTTCTTGAAGCTGCATTACACTTCCTTGGCACCTTTCTGGCTCTCATTCTCTTACCTCTCCATGGTGGTAAGAAGACATCTCAGCCACTGATCCCGCCAGCTGGGCAACTTTTACCTCTCGCTTGTCGTTTCTTTTGAAGCAAGTGAACAAAACCTTCCTCTGACCTGGTTTCAGGCCTGAAAGAATGAAAGACAGATCCCTTGACAACATGCCATCCTTTTGAACTGAAGGCAATCCAAGAGTTTGTCTGAACACTGAAGAGCTGGTGGGCGGACAAAGGCTGTAGGTGAAAGGATGGCTGCCTAAAGATTGCTATGATGCTTTCAGCCGGGGGGCCACAAGGGGCAGAGCACCTGACTTAGCAGTCCATTCACAACAAAAAAATTTACAGGTTAAAGAAGCCGTTGCTTATCATACCTATGATAATAGGTCACAAAGATGACACAGAGAGGTAGAGCTGCAGGACACATCTTGTAGTTTTTGTCCTTTGTTTTTTAAACTGCTAATATGGACAATCTTGTACACTGAAAATACAGTACAAGGAAACTTGATATCAACTTTACGGAACAGGCAACTTACCATCGACCAGTGACGGAATGGATCGCTCATTATCAGAGTTTGAGAAGAGAACCAGTTCTTTGTTGATGAAGTCATTGTAAGTTAGGTAAGTGGTAGTTTTCCCATATAAATAATCCTAGATAAAGTAATTTAAGTTACTATGCCTTCAAAACAACTAATTAATGCTTTCTAATCATGTGGTTTCTAAGAGTTTGCTTCTCTTGATAAGACAAAGGACAATACTTGACTGCATAGATTGCCTTATCATCTCATTGGGACAGCATATAGCTGGGTGTGTGTATTCTGCCTTGCCTAAGACTTCCTCAATGCCCATCTTCTGATGATGTGAGCAAGTGGGAAGAAGTTGGAGAGAAGCAGGGACAGAAATTAAGCACGAAAGGGAGAAGATGGAGTTACTGAATTCCAAGGAAGAGAGTACTTGAGAAGAAAAAGGATGTTAAGCATTTCAAGGGGACTGGGCTAGTGGACAGAGATGCAGTTTCCCAAACTTGACAGCCTTTTGTAAGCTGGGATGCGTACATGATCCCCTCAAACCCCCTTGTATGAAAGGTTCACTAGCAAAGTCTTTAACAAGGGGATAAATGTCCATCCTCAAGGGTGGGAAAACTATCAAGTCTGACCCTTGCTTAGTGCAGGAATCCAAACCAAAGTACATCTAACAGATGGTTATCTAATTTTCTCTTGAATGCCTCCAGCATTGGAACATTCACCACTGTTGATCTTAAAGCCACTTACATCTGGTAGCCCTAGTAGTTTCCTCTGCCTTCGATCTTCCATGAAGTTTGTCAACCATTCCTTTCGATCATCAACTTTCTTTTTGCTAAAGGCCTGGAAAGTTACAAAATGAGCAGCTAATTTACTCAAAACAGTATTCACTACTATACAGTGGTGCCCCGCATGACGATAATCCGTCCCAATGAAATCGCTGTTTAGCGAAATCATTATCATGTGAAATCCATTTCCCCATTGGAATGCACTGAAACCCGTTTAATGCGTTCCAATGAGGAAAATACCTGGTCATCCAGCGAAGATCGCCCATAGGGAAACCATTTTGCGAGCACTGATCAGCTGTAAAAATGGCCGTACTGCAAAGCATGGGTCCGGAAAACACAGGGCAGCCATTTTGCGAAGCCAATGATCAGCTGTAAAAATCATCATCTTGCAAACAAACGGTTTGCGAAGCACGGACCAAATCATCGTCAAGCGAAAATCCCCCATTTGAATGACTGTTTTGTGAATCGCTATAGCGATTGCAAAAAGTCATCGTTATGCAGATTCATCGTTTAGCAAGGTCATCGTCTTGCAAGGCACCGCTGTAGTTATGCAGTCATATATACAGTCAGGCTAAGAATTATTACAGTAGAACCCCCTTATCCATGGTTTGCAATAGTGCTATATACAGCATACAAGGGCACCCGCTTGTGGTCTTTGTCCCACTCACTGTATGCTGTATATAGGGCTTGCTTGTATCCGTGGTACAATAGGCACCCATGGTAGATCACGGAAATGATCCTTGTAAATTGGGGGATCTCACTGTATTTATTTGATTGATTTATACCCTGCCCATCCGGTCTATACGACCACTCTAGGCAGCTATCCTCAATTTGTCGTTTACACTCATGCAGATATCAGTTCAAATTTATAACAAGGGACATTAGAAACTAGGCACCTTAACAAATCTATTGCAAGACCTTACAAGATCCTAAGAAATACAAGGTTTGTCTACATTGCAGCCAGTTACAGTAGTATGCATAGCTGTGGCAATTCATGGGATAAATACCACCCTTTAATTTTATGCAGTGTATACTTTACACTTTTACACTAGTGCTGGATTCTGACACCCAAGGCTGATCCCATTCGAGGAAAACATTCAAGTCTTGCCAGGTTATTCTTGCCATCATTACAATAAAGAGCTGCCTTTTAATCTCAACCTTTAAAAAAATTCTGATGGGATTCTATTCATTTCAAAAATACATAATGTGTCATGCACAACCGTTTGCTGGTCTATCCTCTAGTAATTGTAGTACCAAAGTGATCGCAGCATCATCTTCAGGGCCAGAGTACTTGAAGGGTATTCGATGTCTTGCCATCTCTGCAAAGTACTCTTTTGCCTCCTTGGATGTGCTGGTACCCAGACCTACAGAAAGAAGGACAGACAGCCCTAATAAGATACCTAAAATTATGAAATCAAATTATCCATTCAGTTGTATCCGACCCTTGGCGATTCCATGAGCCTGCTCCCTTCATAATTTCCAACACTTCAGTTGCTTTATACTTTGGTCAGTTGGTTTTTATTTATTGATTGATTGAATAGATTTTTATACTGCCCTATTAGTGCAAGGCACTAACAATAAATAAATGTAATAGCAACAACAACAAACCAACAATCATTAGAGTAAAATAAAAATTATAATAAAAAGAGCAGAATCCTATCTTTCCTCCTCACTGTTGATTCTGGATGATCTATCATATTTGAGTTGAGTGAGAAATTAGAGAACCAAGAAAAAGTAGCATTAACCTACATATGACAACTGATCATCCACTGCAAGTAAAGCATCAAACCACACTGCAGCAAAGTAATTTTCCTAACTTCAACGTCACCAAGGGTCCTTTTTTCTTAAAATGAAGAGCAGTGCAGACACCCATAGCTATCAAATGACAACCTATGCATCATCCTTTGTACTGTATAGTTACAATCTAGACAAGTCTGATGCTGGCACAGAGCTGCAACTTAATGTGCTACTGAACAAAGAGGAAGCTATTTTGAACTATTTGTGGCCATGAGAGTGACAACAGATTAAGTTACATTCAGTTTCTATCACTGGTGAGCAAACCTTTTTTGTGTGTGGCACAGGGATGTACTGGTGACAGTGGAGCCCTTCATGTGGGTAGGCCCATTCCTACTGGAATCATGGAAGTGTCTGCAGCAAGATTAAAGCTTTCTCTCCATTGCACAGCAATGCTAATCACGATCTGTTTCTTCACTGCATTTAGTGTGATAATTTACTTCCAAATGAAGTAAGCATTCTACAGTAAATGCAATAAGTTTGAAATCCTGTAAGATTGTGATCTGTATTTTTCTTTTAGAGACAAAGAATTATTTCTTGGCCTCTTGGTCATAAAGCAGCAAAATAGCCCAGAAAGGGAGATAAAACACAAAAATAGCAGTCAAGAAGATTGCTGTATGTGTCCAAAAGGAGATATTCTGAGTGAACGAAGCACTGTGTAAGCAAAAAGTAAAGTTCAAAGAGAAAACTCTGTCCTGAGTCAATACAGAAGCAAACTACCATGGGTCACTAGGATTAGACCAAAAATTACAGTCATGTGATCCTTGCCTTACTGGGTAGCAAGAGTCCCTTACATACTCCCCCCTTCCACAGAACTAAGAAAAGTTATTGATAGTGCCCATCTATGCACAAGTTGGCATAGTAAATACATTGTCAAGCAGACCTAGGCTCTTCACTCAGTTTATCTTCCAGAGTCTATATGGAACTGTACTTTTGTTTTGCCAACAAAGGTTGCTTAGTAGTAATTGATTGGATAGGCGGGATAGAAATCAAATAAATAAATAAATAAATAAATAAATATTTCATAATGGGCAAACACAAGTCTAAATAAGCTGTTAAACATAGTTCTGTTTCATAGACTATATCACTACAAAAACAAATCCACATCTGGTGTTATGACACAGGGTTCAGGACAAACCTTTATAGTACTTGATTTTCCAGTTTTTGTAGCTAGGATTGCTAGATTTCCATTCTTCAAATTCTGGAATGCTGTAGAAAGGAATCTCTTCTTTGTTCTTGGAAACCTAGTATGAAGTGATAAGTTACAGTGTGAAAACATATTGGACAGCTAATATTTTAATGGATGGACCTGAGGAAGGATAGTCTCAACTGCTCAAGGGGTCACTCACCTTTATGATGGGAGTTATGAACTCTTCCAGGAAACGGTGCCTCAGAAGAGATGGCCAATTATGGTGTATGAAGTTAATCAGCAAGCCTTTGATGTGGGAGCCATCTTGATCCTAAAAGAGCATGCACAAGATAGGTTACAACTGTGGGTGCTGCAAAGGGGGGAACTGTGTCTCACAGACGGAAGTCAAGAACTCTCCATATCTGCGCACCAGGAAAAGCCACACTAGCTTAACTTTAATGACACTGGCTCACAGACCCACAGTAGTTAGGAAACCAGAAGGGAAGCTAATTATAATGGCCAGTGTGCTGTCACAGTGGCCTTAACAAGGAAAGAGGCAGTTGGAGCGGACTCTGTGCCTTTAATTAAAAGGTGCTGATGAGCTGCAAACCAATATGGAACCCATTCAATTATTGCTTGGGAACTCCTCAGCCCCCAGGAGCTCCAGAAGGACTCAGTTACTAACAAACAAAAGATAGAGTCTGGTATTGGAAAGGCCTAATCCTGAAGGAGCTTGAGCAAACAAATGCACACACAGATGAGGAGTTGCCATAGGATGTTGTCGCTAGTACATACAAAAAGACTGACCTGATCTGTCATGATCATTATCTTTCCATAACGCAGGCTCCTAAGTGATTCTTCATCATCATAGCTCTTCTTGTACTGCAGGCCCACAATCTTAATAATGTTATTAATTTCTGAATTCTCCATGATCTAAAAATGATCAGAATTTGTGCTTCAAGTGAACGGCATAAAACTCTTGCCTTATAGATTCCCCCACCCCGCCACATATTGTCAGATTTCCTGAAACCCGTCTCAAATGCTTTTTGTCTATTGTGAAACAGATTTACTGCTCAGAGTACTTAACTCATTTGAAAGCACTTTGAAGCAAACAGATTTTGTACTTCCCAGCTCAGTGAAAGTGCCTGGGGGAAAGCACCACAGTTGTCACTGTTGATCCACGAAAGGCAGTCTGAGATTTTTATTTCACCTGTCATTGCCACTTGGTTTAAAAGCACTTTCCTGATGGAACTTCTAAGAGGACTGACAGGTTTTATTCATAGGCTTTCAAAGCAAGTCCTGATCAAGTAAAAAGCAAGGAGTTTGTACAATGTTGCTAACTGACCTGTTTGTGGGAAGCTTCACGAACATTGAGCATCTTTCCACGCAGGGGGAACACTCCAAATTTGTCTCTTCCCACAACTCCAAGGCCAGAAACAGCCAATGTTTTAGCTGAATCACCTTCTGTCAAAATCAGGGTACAACTGATAGAATTCTTGCTCCCTGAAAAGATAATGGAACACCATCATTAAGAACTGTTCTGATGAGCATTATACATACCCCTTTTAATTAAGATTGGCTGCCAAAGTTCATGTCAGAAGCAAATCTTTCCTTCCTGCTGTGGTATTACAAGAGGTGAGTATCAACATATTGGGGGTAAGAGAACAGATGGCAGTTTTGTACGTATATAATGCAAGACAACCCCTCATGCTCAGAAGCAAAGATTCTACTAGCAAGGCTTCTGTCTTGAAGTTCTCTTGAAACACATACCTGCATCATTGGCATCATCCAGCTTAGGTATTCCTTTAATTCTGTTGTGTTTTACAGCAGAACACTTCTTGTTCAGTTGAGTTTGGGCTTTAAACTTGACCCAGTTCAAAATGCTTTCTACTATGCCACAACTGACTACCTGGAAAAGAAAACAAAAACAAAACTGCTTGTAGGAGAACCTGTTGCATGCTGGCTAATTCCTTTCTTGCTGTTGTTCCTTCACTCAGAATTTACTTTGCACCCAAGTCTGCCTTCAGACCCCTCCAAAACACTGAGCAGCAGCCAACCCAATGCACCTCACAGCACTTACCCCCTTGATAAACTTCTCACTCAACTTGCATGTTGACCCAAAGCTCTTTGCTTGAAGAGTCATGTTTTCCTTTGTCTGGGAGTCAAATGTTGGGTTTTCCACCAAACAGTTTACGAAGACCCACATGTGATTCTTCACCTACACCATCAATTAGGGACCACAAATGTTTAGTTTATTAAACAGCCTAATCTCACAATCCTCTAGTTGCAAAGATTATATAGAACCTCTATATCTACTGGATCAATACCTGCTGATGCACTCTACCACTGTCAGCTACAGTCAATGCCTTTGGAACTGTGGGATTCTACAGATAGCTAGGAGGTGCAAGTGAAGATTCTGTCTGCACTTGTTTGAGATAGTAAGCTATTGCACAGCTCTGCCTGCACAATGGTAATGACATCAGTAGCAAATTACTTGAAATAGCTCCTTTTCTGATTTCAGGGTGTGCATGATTTGTGCATAATGAGAAAAGTTCCACACACCCTGAAGGCAAAGAAGGAAGTTTCTAATTTGGGGCAACCCGCTTCAACTGATGACATCATACCTGTTGTGCAACAGTATACTTGCTGGAGTTTAAGATATTGATACACATTCATAGTGTGGCATAAGCCAGAGAGAAGAGGTAGAACACGAAAATTTTAAGATTTACACCTGGAAAGGCTTCACTCCAACACCACCTTTGTTCTTTTTCTTTACCACCTCGATGAGCTTGTTGACGATCTGATCAGCAACATAGTCTACATGCCTGCCACCCTAAAGCAAAAAATAAAGTCAAAGAAAAGTCTTTTGGAAAGCCTATTACAGTACGATATGCTAATACAATGGTCTTTGATTTGTGGCAAAATCCACAATAAGTCATGTGCGGCCTAGAATATATGTTTTACATTGCACTTGTATTGAGTTGTCTTATTTTTTGTTTATTTAATTTATTTACTTAACTTATATGCTGCCCACACTACCTAAAGGTCTCTTTGGGTAAGATTTAGTAAGATTTTTATTGGTCAACCATTCACAATGTATTAAAAACTAATTCACCATGTGAAACTAATTCACAGTCTTATGGTAATCCTAAAACTTCTAAACGTTCTTATCATTGTGGTTGTTCAGGTCTTGTAAACAAAAAGCTGTAGCTTTCTGTAATGAATCACTGGTTCTCTTAATGAATGTGTATAGGTGGTGCCAAAGAATGAAAATAACTGGATATTTTTTTAAATGCTAGTTTAGTTTCATTATCATTCCATGGATTCAGCAACATGAATATGTATATAGATGAAAATACTTTTTGCTGCAAATAAATGTTCAAGAAGAAAGCACTTCTAAAGGATCTGTACATTGAACCTATCAGGACTCAAACTCTTCCTCTGATTTCATGTTTTATATCAAATCAGTGAAATCCAGTGCATGTGATTATTGTAAAAATGAAGGATTTTTGCATTATGTTCAGTCTTATTTGGGACCATTAGCAAGCATAAAATGTCTGGGTATGTACTACCCACCACCCCCAAAATCCAAGACTAGTCCAAGAATTTCAATAAGAGCTCCATGTGTAAGTCACACCTGCAGACTGGGAGGGGGGGAATGTCCAACATATTGGTGGATTGCTACTACCTAGGCTGTATGTCCTGGGAGATGAGCCAGCCTGTGCAGCCTTGGGGAAGCTACAGTCCCAGTGTGCTCTGAGACGATGATAAACCACTTCTGTGTATAGCTATAAAATCCTGGAAAAAGTGGCCATAAATCAGAATCGACTTGATGGTACACAGTTATATTTTTTAAACATAGCCAATGATAAAGTACAATGGGTACTGCGGTCCAACCATCTGGAGGACTGCACATTTTCATTGCTTGTTAAAGGTGGCTATTACTTAAGTCCAGAGATGCTGTGGCTCAACGAGCAAAGCTGCAATTGAGCTCCCAAAAGGTATATGTGGGCCAAATTCCTCTGTAAGCAGCGGTGATGAGAGCACATTCTATTCAGTCACATTAAGGGCTATACAATACTGCTGAAATATTTGTTGTCTTGGAAACGGGGATGACCACCGCGCCCTAGAGTCTGATACGACTGGACTAAATGTCAAGGGGAACCTTTACCTTCCTTCTATCATAGAAAGAGGCATGATTAAGTTTAGAAAACGTAAGTGCAGCTTATGGTCTTCTACCATGTTTCCCTGAAAATAAGACAGGGTCTTATGTTAATTGTTGCTCCAAAAATGCATTAGGGCTTATTTTCAGGGGATTTTTATATTTTTCATGTACAACAATCTATATTTATTCAACTAGTCGTGTCATCTTCTTCCAGTTGCTGCACAATGGTGGAGGGCAGGGTTTCACTTAACTGGGGCTTATTGTTGGGGTAGGGCTTATATCATGAGCATCCTGAAAAATCATACTAGGGCTTATTTTCAGGTTAGATCTTATTTTAGGGGAAACAGGGTAATAAAAAAAAACTTACTTGAAATTTCAAGAGCGTTCATAACTTTTGCAAAAACTGCACAATTGGTCTTACTTCAAAACTACATGGTTCTTAAATAAGATGGCTTTCTTCTTGAATAATTTACCAAGTTACATTTTATTGCTAAAACAGTCAACAAGACAGGTTTGGAACAAACTACAGCTGCCAAACTAGTTACCTTTGTTGTAGCAATGCTGTTGACGAAGCTAACTTGCTGGAATCCCTTTTCACTCATTACTAGGCAAACCTCCCATCGGTTATTGACTTCTTCATGGACAACTTTCAGTGGATTGCCAGTTTCATCCATCTTGTCCTTCACATACAGGTCTACATAGCTGCGGAATCCTTTGACCTGTACAAGAAAGATATTTTGGGGAATGTATTGTTTCTGGTCTCAATGTGACAATCAAAGAACCCTGCTGTCAGCCACTGGACTCTTCCTCTATTAAGATGATATTGGTTCTCCTGCCTCTCAGCCAACACTCATGGACCTCATTAGATTGTGGGTTACTGCAAGGCACTTTTTTTTGTCTCCAAAGCTATTTTCAGGAAGCCACTGAGAGCAATCATTAAGGCATCTAATATTTCTCTCATGTCTGACATCCTGAATTGGATACAGCTGTGGCATGGAGGCTCTGTGGGTGAATGGTTCCTGGATTTAAGAACAGGAGAAGTGTGTGTCTTTGAATGGGTGTTTGGGTGGGCACCTTCAATCCAGAGCTGCCACTACAGCCACGGCTGTTTTCAGCGGCTAATAATGCTTTTTCCAATTTTGGCTGGTATGCAAGCAACAAACACTGCCATACAGAAAAAGCTTGACTACTATAGTCCATTCATTAGTAACTTCAGGATGAGACAAAGGCAACATGCTTATGTGGGGCTGCTCTTAAGGCTGCAGCTGGCACAAAATGCCACTGTTAGGTTAGCAGTAGAAGTATCTTTTATCAGCATATTAACTCCAGGTCTGAGGAGAGTACTCTACCTGACCATGTGATATTGGCCCAGATTTAAGGTATTGGTATCTACTCAATATCAGGATACTTACTATTTTATTTATATACCACACATCTACCCAAGGGCCACTCTGGGCATTTTCCAAACATGAAACAAAAGTATTTAAATTGTTTGACACCCCGCCTGACTGTCTGGACACTATACCCATCAGAAGATACTCTTCTGGTAGTGCCTAAGACGCTGGAAATCTGGCCCATGGCAGCTTGGAAAAGAACCTTTAGTGTCACAGTACCCCGCGTCTGGAATTCCTTATTAGAACAAATTAAGCAGGCAGCCTCCGGTTTTGGTGTAGTTCCTGGAAATGTACTTGTTCCAATAAGCCTGGACAGAATGGTAACTCCGTTTGTACACAACTTAGAATTTCTTTTTAAAAATTTAACTGGTTCATAAAACTAAGTCGGTCAATCAAAGCTATTTACTTACAGGAAGCCTCTTTCCATTCAAGAAGACCTTGACATCCTTAGCTGATCCAGCAATATCGTAGGCTCTGCGAGACATTAGAGCCACAATATCTTTGTCCAATGTGGTCATTTTAAATTTTGACAGATCAGGTTGGAAAGTTATACATGTAAAATCTTCACCATCGAAGTACTTCAGTTTCATCTCTCCAGCTTTATTCATATTATCCATCCAGGTCTGGGGGGAAAATTGAGAGCAGTTAAGAAATATTAGTTGCCAAAATGGGCAACCAAATTTTTCTTACCTACTGGAGACAGTTTCTAATTAGAGAAGAAAATGCCTTCTTGGTCTGGCTCTCAGCCACGCTGGCATAAAAACAAGTTTCTATTCCCACCTAAAAGAGAACCACTGCAGCAACAGTGGGCCAATACCTGCCTTGGACAGGAAACAAGAGAATCAATATGACGCTTCCAAGACTATTCCCCATACCTGCTTAAAGAGTTTCTTGTATTCTCTGCATGCTGTTTCCACTGTAAACTTGGTACTGAATATGTTACACAGCTTTGCTCCATAACCATTTCGGCCACCTAGAAAAATGGTTCATAAATCAAGCTAATGAAATACAATAAAGTTCTGTAAGGGTTAGGAGAAACACAATTCAATTTTAGATAGTTTATGTAGAAATAAGCCCTACTGAGTTTTTTGGGGTGTATGTGTGGGAAGCAACTTTCATGCAAGTGTGCAATGAACTGTAGATTTAAAAAGTACCTAATGAAATACAATAAAGTTCTGTAAGGGTTAGGAGAAACACAATTCAATTTTAGATAGTTTATGTAGAAATAAGCCCTACTTAGTTTTTTGGGGTGTATGGGTGGGAAGCAACTTTCATGCAAGTGTGCAATGAACTGTAGATTTAAAAAGTACAGTGGTGCCTCACACAACGATGTTAATTGGTTCCAAAAAAATCAACGTTGTGTGAAACATCGTTCTGTGAAACACCATTTCCCATAGGAATGAATTGAAAACCGGTTAATCCGTTCCAATTGGAACAGATTGCTGTCTTTAAGTGAAAAAACCCATAGGAAACATCGTTGAGTGAAACAATGTTTCCTCCATTGGAATGTATTGAAGCCGACTCAATACATTTCAATGGCTTTGCGAAGTCCTTTTTCGCTCCTGTAAAAGTGCCTTACAGTGTTTGGAACAGGTTTTAAA